AGGGGGCGGGGCGCCGCGCCTTTGCAATGACCTCGTGAAGCGCCTGCCCGTAGCCGATGGGCACTTGCGAGGTTTGTGTCGTGGTCTTGATGACGCGGATCGAGTTGGAGCAGGTGTCGGAGACGGCGGAGGAGCAGAAGCCGAGCAGCGCGTTGCGGGCCTGCGTCGCATGGCGGGCGGGGACGTGGAGGCGGCAAGGCGGCGGGCGGGGCAGGCGGGCGGGCGGGCGGGCGAGGGGCGGGCGCACCAGGTACTTAGGCAGGTCGACGTGGCGGTCGACCTGCGGGATCTGCGCGTTGAGGAAGTTGTACGTGTAGAACCACGGGTAGTGGCCCACGAAGGTGGCCGTCATCGCGCCAATCGAGCCTGCAGGCGCGTCGGGTGGACGGGTCGGGGTCGGGCGGACGTGCGGCGAAGGCTGAGGGGTCGAGGGTGGAGGTGGAGAAAAGGGGAGAGGGGAGGGCGGCGAGGGCGGCGAGGGTGGAGGTGTCTCGGACGTGTCGCTCGTCACCGTGCCACAGCACTCCCACCCCGCCCTTTTGGATCTTCGCGCGGAGCTTGCTGAGGCCGTCGGCGCCCTCGACCTGGAGGATGGTCTTGCACGCGTCGATGGGCATCAGGAAGATGCGGAAGCTCGCCGCGGCGGCCGACGAGGCGACGGACTTCACCGCGGTGGGCAGGTTCTTCGTCTGTGCAGCGGGTGAGGGCAGCGTCACTGGCCGGGGTGTGTTGTGAGGCGAGGGAGCGGGCAGGGTGGTGGAGGAGGGTGTGTTGTGAGGCGAGGGAGCGGGCAGGGTGGCGGAAGAGGGCTGTGCCGGCAGCGAAGTGTCAGGCAGGCGAGGCCTGGCACAGGGGGGCGCTAGAGAGCGTCTGTGCGGCGCGTAGCGAGGCGGTGGCGGCCCTCTGTCACGGGTGCAGCGAGGACAGTGGAAGCGTGTGGGGAGTGTCTTGCGCCTCTGCGCGCGAGTCGAGCAGCGCAATCATGCCTGCGTTGGAGGCGGTGTCTCCGAAGCGCGAGAGGGGGCCCTGGATGAGGGCGGGGCCGACGCCGCGGTAGAAGCGAGGGATGCCGCCCTGCGAGGGCAGCGCCACGAGGGGAGGGCGCGCTCAGCGCAAGAAGAAGCATGGGTCTCCTTACGTCCTTGCCCGGGCCGGCCGTCTCCTTGGTTGAGAGAGGGAGAGGGAGGCGGCGAGGAGAGGGGAGCGAGTGGCTGGAGCTTGCGGCGGCAGCCGCGAGTCGCACCTCCTTGTAGAGGTGACGCAGCGCCTCCAGCGTCCCCATCCCTTTGGCGTACTGGAAGTTGACGGTCGTTCGCATCCACATGAGCGCTCCCACCTGGCAGAACATCGCAGCCGCGCCAGCCACGCCACCGCCCAGCGCCCGCTTCCCAGCCTTCCTCAGCGTCTCGACCAGCGGCTCAGCCTCCTTCTCCGCAGGCTGTGGGGTGGGGGCGTGGCAGTCAAGAGACACTGAATGCTTTGGCGTGCGCCGTGGGCGGCGCGGTTGCGTGGCGGCCGCTGGGTTTTCCGGGTGCGCACCGAGGCAGCCATGACGAACGTCCGTGTGGGACCGTATACGCTGTTCAGGCCGAACGACATACTTCGGGCAGGGAGCAATCAACACGAGGTCGGCGACGATGCACTTTCGGGCCGCACCCGAGGTTCTTCGGCGCGTGCGGTTTTTCTTCTTTGAAAAGACTATAACGTGTTGCCTTTTCTCTGGCCGTTGTGTTTTCTTCAAGTAAGCGGGTAACTCACTGATCCTCCACCGGATCCGACTTTCGACAGTGCTGGCAAACCGCATCGCGCAGCCGCACGGAGTCCCCGACAACCACGCACAGCCTCACGCTCACTGTGGTTGATTGAGACTTTCATGCACATGCGCACTCGCAGGTCAGGGTCTCTGGCCACATGCGAAAGGAAAGGCTCATCAGAACGGATTCGCTTGCACGCCGTGCAGAAGCTGGTGAGGTATGGCATGCGCTATCCAACGTGCCATCTCCAACCCAGTCCTCAGGCACGTGGTCGCCACCGCTTGGCTGCCACTCTCCCGCGCGAGATCCATAGTTTATCAGCTCGCCGAGTAGGTCTGCAGCTGAGATGCTGCCATCTGCGTCACACGTCAGTCCCGGAATTGCGGGCGTGGCCACTTCACCGTCGTATGTGCACGTGCAGTAGGGAAGGTGCGTGCCGCTAAAGGCGGAGGGGTTGGTGAAGTACTCGCCAAGCTCTACACCGCGTGCCAGTCGATCGGCGCGCACTCGGGCATCGTAGACAGCTTGGCTCTCACCTGGCTGACCCAGCATGCCATCCTCGACACGTCGCTTGAGCTCTGCATAAGGGTGCATTTTTTCGCGGTCACGCGGGCAATGGCATGTCTCGGCGATGCGGGTGTTCTTTGTGTCTTCATACTCATCGGAGTTGCGCCAAATGCAAAGCAGGTCTTCCAAGTGAGGCTCGTCGAGTGGGTCACCCACATTGCGGTAATCTTGGAGCCACGAAAGAAAGTCGCCGCGCACCAGGACGTCCAAGCTTTCGAGAACGACTTGTGCGGCTTGTTGCTGGGAGGCAGTGTCAGCTTGCTGCTGCGGAAGTGATGGCGCAGGTAGCGGCAGCCGCTGCTCTGCGCGCCAGGCAGCCACCAAGCCAACCTCCGTGGGGATGTGCATGCTGCCGTACATCGCAGGACCGCGCTGCTCGCGCCATGCCTGAAACGCCATCTCTTCTTGCCTCGTCATCGAGTTCATCAAAGCGTCAAGCTCGGCGAGTCCAGGCTCAGGGTCTGCAATCTGCTGCGGCTCCAAGGATTCTCCGTCCGATCTGCTGCCTCCCAGCAGCTTCGGCCGCAGAAGCGTGCGCCTCTCTTGCGATCTGACCCGCTGATCTGCCACCGCTTGGAGGCCTGGTTGCCTCTCCTGCGTCCTCGCCCTGGCTACGGCCAGCGCCATCGCCCTCCTTCATTGTGCACCGCCAAGCGAGGGGCAATCGCAATCCCGTCGACGACGGAGCGATCCGCCCGTCCTCCGCTTAAATTGTAAAAAAGAGTTTTAACAATTAAAATTGCGGCAACACACCAAACATGCTCAGGTCTTGCCTTCTTTGCCGCGCCGCATTATACTCTTGCATCTTCTGGATCAATCTATCCGGCAGCCTGGAACGTTTACGCCGGCCGTGCACTCTGCAAAAGGGCACCAGTCCGCTGGCAGGTGTGTTGTACTCGTCCGTGGGTGGGCCGCCAAGCGCAAGATCCTCCTGAGAGAGCGGCTCGAAAGGCTCCAGGGCGCATCCGCACACGCAGTAGCCTGCTGCAGCGCGTTGCTGCACGCCCAAGAAAGGGTCAGGGTATCAGGGTCGAGTGAGCCGGGTATGGGCTTGAAGCTCAGGCTGGGCAGCAGCCACCGCAGCGTGGCCAGTGCACCGATGCGCCGAAACCCGGTGGCTGATGCTCCAGTCCCACAGCCGCGTCGTGTAGCGGACTCGACCGCCACCGCCATCAGTGCGCTTTCCCACTGCTGCGAGCCATCCGGCTCATGCGAAGCGGCCCACTCCTTGATTGCGAGGCACAGCCAATGGTCATAGTAGTTATCCCCTCGCACACTGCTGAAGAAGCCAGTGGTCCGCCAATAGTCAGAATCTCGCAGCGCCTCATCGACGGCCTTGAGCAGCGCCACCTGCTCATCGAGCCGCAGAATCCGCACGCGTTCCTCATAATAGCTGGTCACCGTGAGCTTGGCCGCGTCACGCCGCCGCTGCCCACGCTCCCTACCCTCTCCATTCGTTCCTTGGCGGCCTTGACTGCCTGCGGCCCTACCACGGGGAAGCCGTGTGGTGATGGTGGGTGGGGCGGGGAGGGATGGGAGGCGAAGCCACCCACGGAATGCCTGCTTCAGGAACCGTCTGGCTGGAGGTGGCGCCGGCAGCTCCAGCAGCGGCGCTCTGTGTAGTCGCCGAACCAATGCTCGCACTATCGCAGTGATCGCTCGCGCATCCCTCTTGCGCTCGGCGTCCTCGCTCTTGGTCCGCCTCGACATCTTGCTCCGGGCGTCGCGAGCAATACCATACATGCCCATGGCGAGCTCGTACGCCTGCTGGTCACCACCTTCCGGCGGCGGCTTTGGCCTCTTGAGCCGTGGCGGGCCAGCGTGCACACGGCCGCTGTGTGTCAAGGCAGGTGTTGCGGCCTTGCGCTGGCGCTTCAGGGAGGCAGATGGCTCCTTCTCCGCCGCCCGCAGCAGCCGCGCATGCTGCTGCTTTCGATCGCGCCACTGGTCCCGCCGGCTGCTCCCGCTGTCGCCGCTGTCGGGGAGCCGGCGTTCGGTCCATTTGGCGAGCCAGCAATTCTGCGCGGCATGCCATTTTTTGTCGGTCTCGTAGTTGACCGAGTGGGGGGGAGGTCCCGCCTCCACGGCCGCTCGAATCTCGTCCGGGTTCAGCCGTCGCTTGGCCATTGGGCGGAGCTGGGGGTGCAAACGACCGAAACCGTGGGACGGACGCAAACGGGTGGCGGTGGGACTTATAGGTTAGGAAAGCGTTCTTTTTCTCTTTTCGGCGATTTCGGCCGGTCTTGGCTCGCGATGCGCAGAGCGCCCTCCAGCTGTCTCTGCACCGCCGCCGCCGCCGCCGCCGCCGCGTCCAGCGCTTCCTTCCGCGCCGCCGCGCCGCTCCGCAAGCTCGTCGTGAGCGGGCGGGAGGTTCGGGTGCGCCAGCATTTTATGGACGTGCCCGTGCCGCAGGCTCGCCGGCGTGCGGCGGACCTGACCGGGCTCAAGGTTTGGCCATGCTCCCTCCGGCTGCTACACCACTACGAGTCGGACGTGCTGCCGCGGCTGCTGCAGCGGCGCCGCGCCTCCGGCGACGACGCGCCGCTGCGCGTCCTCGAGCTGGGCTCAGGCGTCGGCGCGCTGGGGCTCGGGATCGCGGCGGTCGGCGGCGCCCGCGTGGTCCTCACCGACCCGGGCGTCGCCGTCAACCTCGCGGCCGACTACTCCTCCAACACCCTCGACTGGCTCGCCGCCAACGTGGCCGATAACGAGGCGGCGCTGCGGGAGCGGGCGCCGGCGGTGCGGCGGCTGGTGTGGGGCGACGAGGCGCACACCGCGGCGCTGCTCGCCGAGTTCGCCTCCCCCTTTGACCTCGTCGTCGGCACGTGCGGACGGCTGGACGAGTGGCAGCGGCGCCCTCGCACCGTGACGTGACTGTGCGACAGGTGCCGAGCTGCTGTACGACCCGGACCAGTACCCGGCGCTGCTGCGGGCGCTCGACGCCTTTGTGGCCGGCGGGACGCTGGCCCTGCTCGGCTTCACGCACCGGCACGAGGGCGAGCCCGCCGCCCCTCTGAGGGCGCGCTGCGGGCCGATCGGGCGCCCTTCACGCCCATCGGTGAGCACAGGCGAGCGGCGCTTCTTCGAGGGCGCGGCGGCGGCTGGCTTCCGCACCGCGACGCAGTGGCGGGAGGGGGAGGGGGCGGTGCCGCGCTGGGCCACCGTCGAGATTGAGCGGGCCGCCGGCGGGGCGGCCTGGTCGCGGCTGCCGCGAGGCGGAGAGGAAGAGGAAAGGACTAGGACTTAGTAAAAGAGAGTATGAGGAGCCGCCACCACTGCCGACAAATCCCTTGAGATGATGATGACGATTGGGGACGAGAAAAGAAAGAAAGTTTTGCACGGACTTTTCGTAGGCTCTTCCCGGCTCCTGGGCGACCCACCAATGACCAAAGCAGAAATGCGGGCCGACAGCCTGACGCTCGCCGATCGCGTCGCCGGCGCCCTGTGGGGCATGTTCATCGCCGACGCGCTCGCGATGCCGGTGCACTGGTTCTACGGAGGTGTCGCGCAGATCCGTCAGGTATTCGGTCAGCCCATTGCCGGCTACATCGCGCCGCTCTCGCAAAAGGGCTCGTTCCCCGAGTCGATAATGGCGCTCTCTTCGACTGGAGGCGCCGGCCGCGGCGGCAGTGACAGCGACATCGTCGGCACCGTCATCAACCACGGCAAGAAGGGCTTTTGGGCGCGTGGAGGAGGGTATCACTATCACTGCAGTCTCGAGCGGGGAGAGACGACTCTCGAGGGCGAGATGGCGCGGCTGGCGATGCGCTCGCTGACCTCCGGCGGCGAGGGCGGCTTTGATCTCGACCGCATGCAGCGCGAGTACGTCGACTTCATGACGACGCCGGGAAGCCACCGCGACGCCTACGCGAGCTCGTATCACCGCATGTTCTTCCAGAACCGAGCGGCGGGCAGGCCTCTGCGCGAGTGCCCCTCAAACGACGGGCACAATGTGGACGCGATCGACGGCCTCGTCATCCCTGCCGTCGTGCTGCTGGGCGGCGCAGCGCGGCCCGAGGGCGAGGCTCTGCACGAAGCGCAGCAGAGCGTGCGGGTGACGCGCTCGTCGCCGCGCGTCGAAGGGTACGTCGCGGAGCTCTCGGCGGTGCTGCGCGGCGTGCTGCGCGGCGAGCAAACGGCGGCGGAGGCGGCGCAGGCGGCGGCGGTGCGGCGGACGGGCCGGCGGATCGAGGCGGGTTGCGCCGTCCACGCCGGCGATGGCGCGCGCGTGCGCCATGACGCGTCCGCGACAACATGACCCTCAGGCGGACCCACGCCGCCCCGACCCGGTGGTGGCGTGCTACATCGACGACAACTTTGCGTCGTTGCTCGGTTTGCGCCTGGCCTCGAGTGCTAGTCCGTCTCTGGCGACAAGCTGGTGACACACCTTGTCGATCTGCCTGCAGGCTTGGCGGCAAAGTACACGTCCTTCTCCGAGGCGCTCCTCGCCAATGCGAACGCGGGCGGAGAGAACGTGCATCGCGGGCTAGTCCTCGGCGCTCTGATGGGCGCGCAGGTCCGGGGCGGGAGGACGAGAAGGAAAGAGAGGGAGACGGCCTGCAGCCACGCCCAAACTCGCACGAAACTCGCACGAAACTCGCAGGTCCCTCGGGGCGGTTCTCCCTCCCGACGGACCTCATCCCGACTTCGGCGCCTCCCTAGGTTGGCGCCTCGGGCATCCCTGCCGAGCTAAAGGCGGGCCTCTACCACCACGACGCCATCGCGGCGGAGATCGACGCCTTTATCGCCGCGCGCGTCTCCGGAGGCTCATGCACATGACACATGGAAGCGTGGGCATGCAGGACATATCGCCGCCGGAGAATGCGCCTCAGAGCTCAGTACTGCAGCATGGTAGAGCATGCTAGGAATTTTCGGCACGGAATTGGAGCCGCGTTGGCGCTCCAGCAACCAGCCCGGACACCCCTCAGCGGACAGAGCGCACAGCGGCGCGCGACGCTGTGGGCTGTGGCTTGTGGCTTGTCCCGGACTCTCGACGCTATAAACGTGTATAAAAAAAGCTGCGCCGCGCGGGTTAAAAAAATCCTTGTATGTTGTAGCCGTAATATTCCCCTGAGGCTGAGCGATACGGCTTTATACGCTAGTCGCCTAATTGGTGGCCCTCTCGCGGCGCGGCCCGCCTTTGCTGAAGATCGTGGCCTCGCCCGTTGCCCAGCTCGCCCGCGGCCTGGCTCGCCTCGAGGCTCGGCGGCCGGTGCGGCTCGTCGTCCTCGTCGCCGAGACTGGACAGGAACGCGTCAAGCAGGTCGTCGAGGAACTCGTCCTCCCCCACCACCTAGCAGACCCAAGCGAGTGGCCGCTGGGATCTCGCCCTGGCTCCCCTCCCCAACCAAGATCGTCTGCCTGCGCCCTAACCCAGCTCCCGTGCCCCACCCCGGTCTGCGCACCTCAAACTCGGGCGGCGCGTCAAACAGCTCGCCGCCGCCCGCCGCCAGCCCGCCCCCCTTCGCGCCAAAGGCAAACTGCTCCGCGTGCGGGTGCGCGCAGTCGTCCGAGAAGGAGGGGAGGTGCGCCTGGCCAGGCGCAGAGATGTGCGGGCCGTCGGATGCAGCAGGGGGAGGAGGGCCCCGTGGCCCGAATCTCTCGCCCTATGGCCGGCCTTGTGCGTGTGGACCACGGGGAACCCCTCACGACCTCGGCGTAACACACGGCGGAATCTCCGCCCAAGCTCGGCCCGATCTCGGCCCGATCTCGCGCCTCCACGTAGAAGCCGACGGGCAGCGGGACGGAGAGGCGGGTCGGGAAAGCGCATGGCGGGCACATGCCGAGCAGGTAGTCGCACACGCCTGAGCGACCGATCCGGTGGCCGGGCTCGACCCACGGGCTGCCCGGGGGATGCCGAGCGTGCAGGCTCGCGGCACACCAGAAATGTGCCGGTTGATGGGAGCGAGCAGCCGCATGACGACGCAGAACTGGTCGAGGGAGAGCGGCAGACCCCAAGAGCACGTGACGCGCGCCGACGCCGGGCGGAGGAAGAGGCCGAGCACCTTGCCATGTGATTTATCATCATATCCATATGTCATAATGACAAAGAACATCGGAGGAAGAGGCCGAGCACCTTGCCGCCCTGCGCGAACCGCTGCAGCAGCGCCAAATCGCCGGCGCTCGACGGCTTGTCGTGCTGCTCGCTGTCGGCCGCCGCAGCCTCGCTCGCCAGCAGCGCCTCTGTGTGCGCGCGCCGGTCGGGCGGGGTGGCGATGACTCCCTCGCGCTCGCGCAGCCGCACGTTGAGCATGCAGCGGCACTGGTAGCGCGCCGACGAGGCGGCAGCGGAGGGCGCGCCGGCGTCGGTGCTCGGATGGCCCCACAAGTCGCACTCGGCCATCAGCGGCACCAGCTCAGACACAAACCGAACGCCCGAGCCGCCGACGCCGCCGCCGCCGCCGCCGTCGCGCCCTCCGCCACCGCCGCCGCCGCCGCCCCTGCCCCTCGCCGCCGCTGCGGGCGACAGCTCGCCCTCCACGCGCAGGTCGGCGGGGTGGCGCGTGAGGGCGCACTCCGCCTGGCGCGGGCGCGTCATGGGGCGCGTCACGGGCGCGTCATGGGGCGCGTCGTGGGCGAGTCATGCATGCAGCACGTGCATAGACATGTAGGGGCGTGTGGGCGCGTGATGGGCGTGTCAGGTGTTGGGGGCGTGTCGTGGCGGGGGCTGTGAGGGCGGCACTCCGCGGCTAATGGACGAGCTCGTTTCTTCCTTAGGCGCGCCTGGTCGGAGGTCTCGCGCTGCAGTCCGGTCTCGAAGAGGCGAGAGGTCTGCTGGCGGGTCAGCTGCAGGTCCGGCTTGAGAAACGCCCACGTGCGGAGGTACTCCGCCGTCCGGCGGCGCTGCTGGTCCACCATCAGGATCTCCGGCTCGCCTTTGTCATTTGCACTCCTCCTCAGATTCTGATCTCAAGGTCACCCACCGTCAAGGATCTCCGGCTCGCCGTAGCCCGCGTCGAGACATATCTCCCCATATCTCCCCATATCTCCCCATATCTCGCCGTAGCCCGCGTCGAAGCGGATGATGAGCGAGAGGAGGCCGCGGTGCCAGGTCAGCGCGTCGTAGTCGAGTCCGGCGAGGGTCGAGTCGACCCTCACCCGGACGCCCCTCTTGCGGATCCGGTACCTACGGTGCGCAGCGCACGGGCTGCGAAGACAGCAAGCACCCTTGCTTGGAGCAGCTCGGCTTGTCAGACACGTGTCGGAGGGGAGGAAGCGGCGCAGCAGCGTCGCGACGCCGAGCATGTACGACCCGATCCTCCACGCGAGCACCTGCGCGGGGAAGGTTTCGAGGAGGAGGTCCGCAGAAGGTGCTGCGACAAGGCCCGGCCCCTCCTCCATGCGAGGCGCCGCGGAGAAGTCTGGCATCGAGCGCAGCGTCCTGAGCACCGTCTCCCTCCGCCCCGCCCACCGCTTCTGCTCGTCGAGCTGCACGGCGAGGTGGATCTCGCGCAGCACCTGCGCGCGGGCACGGATTCGGCGCCAGGCTCGTCTGGCGCGCGGGAGACCGCCGCCCGGGCTGGCGTCTCTCTGCGGCCGGCGCCTGCTGCGCGGCGACCGCCTTGGCCTTCACGTCGGCCGCCGCGTCCGCACCAACGCAAGCCTGCACGCACGCCATCGCCTCCTCCATGGGCGTCCAGTTGCCCGCGGAGCGAGTGTTGACGTCGAAGCCCGCGGCGAGGACGCAGCGCACGGCGGCGGTGTCGACCCGCCGGATCGCGAGGTGCAGCAACGAATCGCCGTGCCGGTCGAGCAGGTGCAGCTCCGTTGGCCGCTGCAGCAGAGCGAGGCGCAGCGCGTCGATCTCGCCGGCGTAGACGAGGTAGAAGAGGTCAACTCGATCCTGCAGCACTGCCGGCATCTTGCAGCCCGAGCGTTTTCTTTTTGCCATTTCGACCGGTAAGAGCCACTCCGCTGTGAACACCGAGGGGCCTCGGTCTTGCGGAGCTCCCTGCTGCTCGGGTACGAACTCTGTTCACACCCTGCACTGTCGAGCACTGGGGAGTGGCTGCGCTATAGCAGACAGGAGACAAGGCCGCCGCGCTCTTCGCGCTCTTGGCGCTCGCACATTCGACTGTGTGCAGGGTCGCCGGTCTCGCTCGCTGTCACCACGCACCTCTGCCCCTCCCATGGAGCTCGACACGTTTCTCTACTACTGGGACGAGAGCGACGGGCCGCAGTGGCAGGGCTGGTGGATCACGCCGGACCGCGTAGGCAACGACCGCTTCTTTGCCTTCTCTCGCGGCGCAGCCGCGTCGCCCGACGAGTGTCGGTCCTGGCGCGGCGGCGACCGGTCGATTGATATGTGCGTGGCGAGCTTGGGCGGTGGCGCCATGGGCGTTCGGGCGAGCGGGCTCGGATTCGAGGGCGTGTACGAGCGGGAGAGCGAGGAGCGAGGGCATGGCAATCCAGCGTTCCGGCGGACGCGCGACCTGACAGCGGCGGAGGCTGCGCGCATCGACGCGGCGAGTGCGGCGGCGCCCTCCACTGTCGTCTACAGCCAGCAGATGACCCTCGCTGACCTTCCTTCATCCTCCGAGGAGGCGCCTGCCGCCATCGCAGTGGGAGTGCCGCTCGAGCTCCCCGCCGCGGTGACGCCGGCGGCGGCGCTCGAGTGGGTGCGAGGCGGCGGGGAGGAGGGCGGGCAGCACGCCGGCGCGGCAGGCAGCCCGCCGGAGGAGGCGGCGGCGGAGCCGATGCTGCGGCTGTCGCTGCGAGTAGAGAGCGCGGCGGAGCTGGACCAGGTGGTGCGCAAGGAGGCGGCGGAGCGGCTCTCGCTGCCGGAGCTGAGCGACGAGGAGTCCCCGCTGCCGGTGGGGTGGGTGCTGGCCGAGAGGAGCGCCGCGCCGGTCAGCGGCACCGTGCGGCGCTTCTTGCTCCTCGCGGCGCACCAGCTGGAGGAGGAGCTGCCCGAGTCGTACCGCTCGCTGCCGCAGGTGCGCGAGCTTGCCGCGAGCCTGCGCCGGCTGGTTGTCGAGCGGGGCTTCACCCTCTGCGTGTGGGCCGACGGCTGAGGTGTGCAAGTTGTGTGAGGGGCTGCGCGTGCCCAAATTTACGTCGTGGTGTACCCTACCCCCAGGAAAGTGCCGGTCGAGCCTGGTCGGTTTTGGAGCGTCAGTGACCGGACCGACCCGATGGCGCGCGAGCGGAAGCCAAGTGCGAAGGCGCTCGAGGCGGCGCAGAACGGTCGCCCCAGCACATTGGGCTTTTGGCACTGAAGAGCGACCACGAGAAATACCGGCGTTTTCGCAAGAGACTCGACCGAGCAAAAAGTCGCCGCACCTGCTCGGCCTCGAGTCGCAGCTTGCCGCCGCCGTGGCGGGCAGGATGCCGGCCGGCCGCTCCCGCTGTCGGGCGCATCCGGCGAGACTCGCCTCACCCCCGCCGCGCCGGCGAGCTGCGAGGGCACCATCCCAACGGCTGCCGTCCCCCGGCTGGCGGCGTGAGAGGCCTCGGGAGGGCTCACCGAGGGCCGGCGCACGCGATGCAGGCACTACCAAGGTCCTGGCAACCGCTCCGCGACCACCTCATCACATGAGACGACTGCTGTAGGACGCTCGCGGGCCAGAACTCGACGAGACCGCCACACCAACACTAACTGCGCTTCGGCGCCCGATCTGGATTTTGGCCTCCCGACGCGATTTCCGACCCCCGACGCGAAGATATCGTCCCGAGTCTCACTACTCGCCCCTCCATCCTGTAGGTCCGGACCTTGCCTGCTCAGTAGCCGCGATGAATCGTCGCCCTCATCGTCCGCGGTCATCCTTTCAGCCTCGGGCTGGCTTTTTGAGACCCTCGCGTTTGCCCATCTCGGCCGTTTACGACGCGTCACGCCTTCCCTCGTGCCGCAAGTAGGCGTGTGCGTCATGACTCCGGTGCCAGCTACACGGCCACGCCGCGGGACAACGTGCCGGGACGGATCCATCCGACCCACGGGTGCCCAAGCCGCCTCGCGCGCCTCAGCCCGCCGGGCCCCTCGGCGGCCAGTGTGGGGTGGATACGGCGGTGATAAACCCCTCTGACAGCAGCGCCTCACGGCGTGGGCTGCGAGGTCACTCGGGGTGACCCAGGGGGCGGCGGGGGAGCAACCTCCCGCCGGAGCAGCGGGTGAGATTCCCGCTACTCGCTCGAGTTTGAGGTGCGCCGCGCCTAGCCTGTGTTGCCTTCCCGGCCGCCCCAGCCGCCCTCACCGTTCCTCATCCCCTCCCCCACCCCCTCCCCCTCAGGCTAGGCCCTCGCCGCCGCCGCCGCCGCCGTCTCCGCCACAGCCGCCGCCGTTTCCTCCCCCCCCCACCCCCTCCGACGCCGTCGCCTCCGCTGCTCCCGCCACCACCGCCGGCCGCCTCAGCTCTCCCTCGCCCACCTCCCACACACCCCCACCGCCCTCCGCGCGTCCCCGCACGCCGCCTCCGCGCCCCCACGCCCCCACGAGGACCTCCCGCCCCGCCCTCCCCGCGTCTCAGACCCTTGGCCGTGCTCCGCTCGGGGAAACTCGGCGCCGCCGTCGCGAGCACTGCTGCCAGCGCAGCCGCCGGGCGACGCGACAGCGGCTAGCGGCCGTGAGAGCCTCTCCAGTGCGGGCTGGGGGCGGCGGCGGCGCACGGCGGGTGGCGGGCGAGCAGCCGGCCGGCCGGCGGCGCGTCTCGACTCGATTTATGGGCCGCCTCTCGGGCGTGCGGCCACGGCCCGTGCGGCGCGAGGAGAGGGCGGCGCGCTCGGCGCGCTGGCGGCGGTGAAGCCTCCCAGAGTGGGCGCTGGCTGGCCGAGGGCGTCGGGCGGGTGCGGGGCGGCACTCAGGCCGCCGGAACGGGCCGTGGTGGCCCGTGTGGCGTTCGTGAGGGACCGTTTGTGCGCCCCGGTAGCCACCCGGCCGGCGGCCACCGGGGCCGGAATTGGCAGCGGCTTGCTGGGCTGTGTGTGGGCTGGTCGCGGTGGGGGATATGGTGCTTGTTTATGGTCCTCATTTCCCCCACTCACCACTCCCAGCCGGCAGGGCCTCACGGGGCAATTTTGAAGGCCTCTGCCATCGCTCAGGTCCCAAACCATGTGCTCGTCCGCGCAGGGAGGGCTCGGTCGCGCGCTCGCGCCCCCCAGTGAGAGTGAGGTGTTCGGACTGAGCGACGGCAGGACCCTTTGAAATCATAAACTGCGACGTCCGTGAGGCCCCTACGGCCGGTGGCAGTGAGTGGGTGATTGGAGGGCCATAAACTACCATCACGCCGCCCATCGGACCCCTCCTCCACCCCAAACACAGTCCAAACCGGGGCCCCGGCGGCGGCCGGCGCGGCGGCGGCGACGCACGCCGGCGAAGCACCATCAAGCTGCTGTACGGCCCCGGCATCGCCTCCCCTGGCTTAGCTCTCAGTCAAGATATTGTGAACACAGTCAGTCTCTACAATATACTCACTGACACTGAACCTCCCAGAGCTCGTCCCGGTCCATTACGGCCATCCTCGTCCTCAGGCGCCGGGCTCCGCCGGCCAGTCGCCCGCCAGATCCGGCTTCGTCGGGAGGGCGTCGTCGCGGAGCACCATCGCCGCTGTCGGCGCTCCTGCGGCGGTCCGGGGGCACGTCTGGGTGGCCAGGGGCGGGGGTCGAGCCGTGAGTGCTCCGCCGGGGCGAGCTTCTGGGTCCATGGCACCGCTGCCGGACCCGTCCGAGAGCCTTTCCGGACACGTTCGCTCGATGGCCTAGCTGGCGGCCGATATTCGACAACCAAAGCTCCGGACGCCGCGGCCAAAGATCCGCGCACAGTCCCAGGGCTCGTGGTGAGTGTGGGGTGTGCCTCACGAGGCGGAGAGGCCGCGTGAACTCCCGTAGAAGCTCGCGAAGTGCGGATTTGGAGCGCCGCGCCGGACCTCCGCCGGGGCCCGCCGGGGCCACGGGAGAGGTCAGAAATCGTTTTGGGGGGTAGACTACTACAAACCGGTCACGGTCCCGTCCAGTTCAGTCCCTTGGCCGGCCCTGGGCCGCTCGGCACCGCGCGGGGGTGCCGTTAAGCGACCCTACGGATTTTCAGTGGTCGATTTTGGCCAAAAAGCCCAATGTGAGAACGCGCAGGAGCAGGAAGACGAGCCCGACGAGCCCAAGGTGACGCGGCCCCAAGGGTAAGAAACGGGTCGCGGCCGAAGCAGACGAGTACCAGCCGGAGGAGGAGTCCGCGAAGGATGACGACGAGTATCATCCGGAGGCCGCGAGCAAGAAGACGACGAAAAGAAGGCGCCCGCGCCAGCTGCTGCTGCGACGCGCCCCGAGCTCCCTGCTCCCTCGTGACTTTTGCGGCTTCTCGATCGAGTACGCGACCACCGGCCGGTAGACTACTGGTTCCTAATCTCGGGCAACCTCGGGTAATCTCGGGTGATCTCGACGGTGCAGAGCGCGCGCCTGGTGCGGCCGCACGCCGTCCCCGCGACCCGCACCGGCGCCCACTCAGCGCAGTGCACGTCGAAGGCGAGACTTGTACAGGTAGTGCCAGTAGCACTCGGCGGGCCCCCCACTGACCGAGAGATCAAAACGGGACGGCCCAAGTATCTACTACATTGTCAACGCGCCCTCTCTTGGGTGAGACGGAGGTGCGCCGTCTCCCCCGCCTCTCTCCTGGGCGGCTTATACACGGCCTCGCGCCAGCCCTTGTGCCTCTCACATCAGCTGGCTATCGCCCTCGGATGGCCTCGATCCGCCGCCCAGCCATCCCTGCTCTTCTCGGCTCGGCCGCGCAAGCCGCTGACACGCGCCACAGCGGCCCCAGAAAGCTTCAAAAGTCCTCGTCGAGGGTGAGAGAGCCAATCGGAGGCAGCGCCGGGGCCGCGGCGGCGGGAGGCTTCGCCTTGCCTCCCGGGGATGAGGCGGCGGATTCGAGCG